GCTGGGGTCTGGCGGGCCCAAGGTGCCCCCGCCGCCACGGGTGTCTCCTTCCCCCCAGGGCCACACGCAGGACACGAACTCCTTCTTCATGTGCCGGCGGCTGCGCGCTCTGGGCGTGAGGGTGGCCCAGATCTCGGTGGTGCCCGACGAGGTGGACGCCATCGCCAACGAGGTGGCCGCCTTCGCCGAACGCTTCACCTACGTCCTGACCTCGGGGGGCATCGGCCCCACGCACGACGACGTGACCTTCGAGGCTGTGGCCAGGGCCTTCGGGGAGAGGGTCACCCTCCACCCTGAGCTGGTGGCCCTGGTGCACAAGTTCTTTGGCAAGACGGACATGCGGTGCCCCGAGATGAAGCTGGCTCGCGTCCCCGAATCCTCCCACCTCAACTACGGCACGGACGAGCGCACGGGCAGCACCTTCAAGTACCCTCTGGTCAGCGTGCGCAACGTCTACATCTTCCCGGGCATCCCGGCGCTGATGGAGCGTGCCCTGGATGGCCTCGCCCACCTCTTCCGCAGCGAGCAGACCCAATTCTACTCCCGCACCATTTACGTGGCGGCTGACGAGATCCTCATCGCGCCCATACTGGACCAGGCCGATTCCACCTTCCAGGGCCGCGTCAGCCTGGGTTCCTACCCAGACTGGGCCAACAATTACTACCGTGTGAAGCTGACGTTGGACTCGGAGTCAGAACAGGACCTGGAGGAAGCGTATCGCTTCTTGACAGAGAAGCTGCCGCCGGGCGTTGTGGTGCCGTTGGTGATGGACTGTGTCTCGCCAGCGGCCACGGAGGTTTATAGCCTGGCCAAATCAGGTACAGGGAAGCAGAGCAGCAGCACAGCTCAGCGCCTCTGTGCTGCTCCAGTGCAGACCCCGCAGCCCAGCAGGACTGGGGCAGTGGGAAGACCAGCCTGGGAGCAGGGCTTATATGCTGGGGGGCCTGATGGGTGCTGAAGCTTTGCTGATGCTGGAGCTGCTGTGGGCTTCCTGAGTGGGACCCCAGTTACTGCGGTGCAGGTCCTTGAGAGCACAGTGTGCGTTAGGGGGAGCAGTACTGCAGTTCCCCCATGAGGGTGGGATCCCTGTGCCATCCTTGTCCCATCCCTCTGGGTTGATCAAACTCTTGGCTCCAGACAGATGCGTCTGGAGACCAAGACTGTGCTGAGAGGCCTTGGGGCAATGCCAAGGCAGTGTAGCCCTGGGCAGGCACCAACCGTCTTCTCCTCCTCCTCACAGGCTCGGCCCTGGGGCAGAAGGTGGCAGCAGCACTGCGGACCATCGAGGAGGCTTTGGACCGGTACAGCCTGGCCCAGCTCTGCGTGGGCTTCAACGGGGGCAAGGACTGTACGGCCCTGCTGCACCTCGTCCACGCCGCCGTGGAGAGGTACCTGGCCGCGGGGCTGCACCGGCCCGGCCTGGGGCAGGGGTGAAGGGGTCCCACAGACCCCGGGCCAGGGCTCTGGGGCTCTCCCCTGCCCCACGCTGGGGGAGTGAGCGGATTCCTGGGGCTCAGTTGGCGGGGACTGGGCGGCTGCCCTGCCTCCGGTCTCTCCCCAGGCAGTACCCAGCAAGGCAGGAGAAGCTGCAGGTGCTCTACATCCGCATAGTGTCCCCTTTCCCCGAAATGGAGCAGTTCATCCAGGCGACCGTCCGGAGGTACAGGGGGCTGCCAGGCAGGGGGTGAGCAGTGTTCCCCCCCACGGCCCAGCAGGCAGCTGCCCATCCTTGCCTGTGCAGGTACAAGGTCCAGCTCTGCACAGTGGAGGGTTCCATCCGGGAGGCCCTGGCTCACCTGAAGGAGCAGCAGCCGCAGCTGGAAGCCGTCCTGATGGGGACGCGGCGGACGGACCCCTACTCACGCACCCTGACACCCATGTGCATGACGGACCCCGACTGGCCCCCTTACATGCGGGTGAACCCTCTGTTGGTACGTGGCCTCCCCGTGCTGGGGACGGGGATGGGACTGGCCCCACTGGGCAGGGGAGCGAGCCTGGCAGGTTAAAGTGATGCGGCAGGAAGCCGGTGCTAATCCACACCCATCCTGGGGGCTTCCCTCCCAATTCCCGCTCTCCCCAGAACATGTCCTGCACCATTGCCTGCCCCTCATGCAGCCGAGCTGCTTGGTGCTGTCAGGCCAGGCTCATTCCTGCTCGCCGGGGGCTTTTCCTGTGTTTGGGGAGGGACGGATGTCCCGTGTGGTCTTGGGGGAGGGGGGGCAGCTTCTTTCCCTGGGAGCAAGGGGGCAGCCTGCCTGCCTCTGCAGCAATCCCAGCTTAATTTTGACCTCAGGACTGGACCTACCGGGACATCTGGGAGTTTCTGCGCAAGCTCTTTGTCCCTTACTGCGTCCTCTACGACAAGGGGTGAGTGTCCGGTGCTTCCCTCCCTGCTTGGCACGGCCGATGCCCCCAAGCGCAGCCTCGTAGCCCCCTTCTCCCTCCACAGCTACACCTCCCTGGGGAGCATGGCCAACACGCTGAAGAACCCATCGCTACGCTACACGGACGCCCGGGGCCGGGAGAGCTACCGACCTGCCTACGAGCTGGAAAATGAGGAAGATGAGCGCACTTCCCGCCATTGAAGGCCCGCAGGCTGCACTCGGGGATGCTCTACTGGGATGCTGCCAGCAACCGGCTCCCCCGTGGATGTCACTGGCACAGCTGGGGATGACACTGAATAAATCTGCTGCGTGCTAGCACTGAATAAACCTGCTGCAGTCTGCACTGTGCTCACGCTTGGCCATACCGGTCCCTTCGGGCCCCGCGGGGCTCTGACGGG